TTACGTAATAATACAATTATCAGGGGTCAAACTCGCCAATAAAAATCCACTTCCAGGTTTTCACTCTCACGCACTCAAATAGTACTTAAGACCCGGATTCAAATCATTCTAAAAATCACAGACCCGGACTCGAATTATTGGTCGGTTCCGGGCGGATCCGGGTATTACGGTTCTGGTTTGCGGAACACTAATATATACATCCTAACCTTAATTTAACTTGGAAATTCCGAATCTGTTTAATTCCATTCCCACTTACAACATATATATAATTATAAAATCATATACATATTAAAATACATAATTTACTTATGTACATGTACGTATAATGATTTATTTCAATGTAAAATTATTAATGTTTCAAACATGATGTTTCACGATTATGTGATTATTCAAATCATCTAAGTAAGAAAAATCTAATGATACAAAACTATTAAAATTCAATCACAAAATTTCAAGATATTTGATTTTGTTGATTCTTCACTAATTGGTAAAAAATTACAAAATCATTTTTTTAAAACTTTTTTCTAGTATATATATTTATTAACATTATCGATTTATTATTGGATAGGTTAATATTTATATTATATGTACGGTCGGCTCCAAAAGTTTAACACGGTTACACGAAAACTATAAAAACATATCTCATGGAGAATATGTAGCAAATATTAAAGTCTATATTCTGTTAAAGACAGCATATATAGTTGCATCAATCTTTATGTACTATTTATTAATATTATAATTTATTATTATTATCGTTTGATTTGGTCGATTTGTGTTGTTTTTATCGTGTAACCGTCTAATCTACGTAATATTATGCTAATAGATTAGTGAGATTTTTGACTTCGATTTATGTTTGTATAACTATTCACAGAAGTACAACTATTCACGAATGGGAGAAACAGAAATAAAAATTATAACTACGTTAAAAAAAACAACTAGAACTATTAAAATACGTATTAGTTATTAAAGAATTGTTCAAAATCTCGGTAAATAAAATTCAGATCTGCTATACTAATCACGATTCTATCCGGATTTCGTTTTCGGCATCTATCAAAGTTTCGTAATAATTACCCAACATGAAATTTTAATGGGTGAAGATAGATGCAAATACAGATATTATAATATTAATATTCAAGATTGCAAAGCTTGAGGCACAATGCCATGTTCGATAAATGCTAAGACCTCATCTGCCTCAATACTGACTTTCCATCCTTCTTTATGCACCTCCATCCATTCTTCTACCAACTTTACCAACTCTAAAACTCGATCATTATATGGCGTTAGAGAACGATCACAATCTCCAACTTTAACACCATCCATGATAATTGCACCTTCATCTCTATCTTTCCTAATAATTTTACCTAATCTAACAATTTCACCTTGTAATTCATCAATCTCTGTTTTTCTACCTGATTTAATATCTTGAAGCATCGAAGGTGTCACAGTTTTAGCATCCATCTTGAGAACTTTGGTAACGAAAAAATTAACTAACCAATCTGGTGCATATAAAACATATGGCATGATCCTTATCGGCATCTTGTGATTAAATGATGTAAATGGAATTTCCGAGTCATCAAGTATTTCCATAGCCTCCCATTGACACATGGCAAGTATATGACGATATGTTTCTGATTTAAGAACCAATTCACCCGAACCGCTTAATGCAGTTAAAGCATTTCCCAAGTTTAGTAATAATTTACCATATTGAACACTTTTTATGTTGGTGGTGATTATAAGATTGATTCCAGCGTTAGATAAGATGGAACTAATAGAATGTGTAAAGGGTGTTGATTGAATGAAAATAACACCATCGGAACTTTGGGTGAAGTTAC